TTTATTTTACACAAAATTAGTGTCCCCTAACAGTTTTAGCTCTCAGAATTGAATTGCTTGATTTAGTACCTTTAATTAAAAACATTTATGATCTTAAATATTAAGCTAGTTTTTGTGTGCTTCAAATAATGATTGAAAGCGCTTTGATTTGCTCAAAAAAGTTTGTGTTTTTACAAATTTGGTGTTTTAGACAGGTCCATCACCGCGAATAGCTCAGTATCCGGTTGAAGTTCAGCAGTACATATCGCCACCTTGTGTCCCAATAACTGATTCTGTTTTGCATGCTTTTGAGAAGTCTTATGCTAGACTGTGGTGCACGTCTCAGGATTTGCCCATCGATAACTTACTCTCTGAAGATCTCATCAAAAATATGGTAGCCTTACCGAGCTTTTATCAACCTCTCTTTTTAACGGTTTCCTAATTTTAATCATATGTTTCTTCCTTTTCTCGCTTTCTTATCAGCAGAGCACGTGTTACTTCAGACGCATCAAATTACGACTTAATAGTGATATAATTCTCTTCTCAAGTTAACTTAAGACTAAGTGTGACGTTCATTTTTTATTCCGGTCGAGTAAACCGGCCTAGTTAAGTCAGAAAAATTATTTTTGCCTATCTTTCCTTTGCACTTGTATGGGACTTCTACTAGTAGGATTTTAAAAGGTTTTAAGAGAGGTTATGCTGAATGTTGTTTATTCGGTACTTTAGTTGGCTTGATTGAAATCGTTTCTTCATCAGTTTAGAAGGCCTATAAAATAACATAGAAGAATACTTGTAAATCTTTCAGGATTTGCTGAGTTGTTGGAGAAGATTCACCAGTGAAGTAGGTAATATTGTTACAATGTCCTGCTACTTTGCAAAGCCGATTTATGATTTATTTTCAATTGATGAAGCTAAAAAGGTGTCTGCGCTGAAGAATAACGCGTTTGAAATGTGTTTATCTGTCATGTCAATTTTTTATGACGCAAAAGTACCAAGTCTAACTGTTTGCGGAAATACTCTTCCGTTAAGAGTGTTTATTTCAAATTCTAATCCAGCAGTCGGAAATTTTGCAAGATCGGTAAGCCCTTATGTTACTCGTTCCAAAAAGTTCGTCTGCAAAAATGAGGTCCGACGATCATGTCGACAAGCTCCCAATGAGCTGTGATTCCTATGAGATTATGAGGGGCAAAGTTAAACATGTTGGTCTTCATGCACTTACAAAATATACAAAATCCTTTTCTTAATAAGGTAGACATAATGGGAAGCCCTCTCCAAAAAATAAAACCAGCCGTATTATAGTTGCATCAAAATAAATCTGACTGTAAGCCTTTTAGGTTAGCAACTGTTTTGCCATTTTACAAAAGTTCAATATGTCCATCACCGAGATTGCTCTATACACAGCGTGGATTTTGTATGATGGGATAGAAGAAGCGAGAGATTTCCGCCTGAACCTTAAATGTTGTATTATTCAACAGTTCCAACAAAGGGTTGGTGTATTCTGCTGACTGTTTATTGAATTTCTGTTTCACTTTCTCTTTTCAACCAGTAATGAGATTGAACTGCGTATTTTTAAGAACAAGGAAGACTTGGTCGAGCGGTTACTTGGATTCCTAGGGACGTTACGTGCAGTTGCGACTAACCATAAGGAAATCCTTAATAATTTCTTACAGCAAAACACGGACGTTGACTTGGACAAATTGTACAAAGAAGTGTTTCTCTAAGTCCTGTTCCTACCAAGTCTAAATGTTAGGATTTTGTAGCTTGGTTGTTCCTTGAAACTTGCGCTTTATATTTTAAAAGCAAGTGCACTTTCGCGCATTGTATCACCTCTTTTCTTTCCTATAATTTGTACAGGTTTTTTTTTTTTTTGGATCAACCTTACTGACTACACCCGTCAAAAGGGGACGTAAGTTAGTTTCTCTGTCTGTACTTTTCGTCCTCTCCACACATTGGATTTACAATTTCAGAGATTCTCTGGAGGGGATGGGGGGCGGGGGGTGAAAATGGAGTACTTGCTCGGGAGCTAAATGGAGTACTTGCTCAGGAGCTCTAATGGCGACTGTTAAATGTATCCGGTCATGCTCTAATCACTAACTGCTGACGCAAATTTTGTTTCCCGGGTGTGACATTCAAGATTGTGTAATTTCCATGAAAAATGATTCTAACACTCCCACCCACACTTAGTCGCTAGCTTCTGGAAGATGGAAGGGTTGTCTGCTTGTATACCACTCAATGCAGCTGTCAAGTACTCTAAACAACTCTTGCTAATCCAAATAAAGGTTCGTTATGTTGTTCGCCGATGACCTACACCGCTACCACGGGTACTTATGTCGTTCCATACGACTTGCTACTGCTACTGCTGGTTAAATGGCATTACCCGCCTTCTAACTTCCTAACCTAGCGCTGCAGTAAAAAACGGCCCGTTTTTTTTGCAGATTTTCGAAGTGAGTCGCTAAAAAGATAAAAAGGTCTTCACAACCTATTTAGCTGTAAAAAACAAAACTGGCATTTAAAACTTTATGCTCGTAGTAGAGGCGGTGAGTGTAACAAACAACTTATATAACATCACAATCACTTCTTTAAATAACCTTGTGCACATAAGCAACAGAACGACTGACAATGTCGAAATTCATAAGCAATGTATGACCAACTGACGCAGATCTAAATATATATAAAAGTAAACAAGTGAACAGGAGCGGAAAGAGCTGAACACAGTTCTCAAGATCGATCACTGTTTGCTGGTGAGACTGAGCGACTTCTTGGTCCTGCACTGGCACTTCTAAAACAAAACATTCTAATTTCAAACCGCTGCGCTGAGATACCCTGCTTTTAACAAGTAAATGGACGAAATAATCAAATTCCTAACACCCCAAAACCTAAAACATTAATTCAAACACCTTGGAGGGCTAACTGAACGACTAGCACTTCTCTTCCGGTCATCGTAAGTAGGAGAACCGCGAATAGGTGAACGCGAACGGCTACGTCTAGGTGATCTGGACGGCGACCTTAAAAGAAGATAGAAATGATATCATCAATGTTAAACAGTTACACATTTATGTGACGACACACAAAATCATCGTTAAACTGCAAAAGCCTGAAGTTTAACTGGCCTCAAACTTTACCCAGTTCTTCAACAATAAAATTTAAGACTTCTTCCAACAAAGACCCATCTTAAAAACGCTTTAAATCGACAAAAACAGAAATGCCAAAATAATCTGTCAAGTCTCTGCACTCTGATACAGTCAAAAAGCATTAATGCAAAAACATCAGACTATTGCGACGTGAAGCAGCCGCGCGATTTCAATACAGACGAATTTGGAATTTTATTGTTGAGCTGTGAAGCGAGTTGAACGCTGAAGGAAGGGAAGATACGAATACGTGTAGTGTGATGGAGCTCCACTAAAATGAAAGCAAATATAAACTAATCACGCAAAAACCAAATTAAATTAAAAGTTTTAAAAGTTGAGCAAATGATGCTGCAGCAAGCTAATTTCAAGCTTTGTCATTAATTATCCCCAAACAGATGTATTTTAAACGAGCAGAAGCCAGCACTAGAACGCTAACCGCTCTAGCGTTCGGGACCAGATTGAACACTATAAGCCAAACCATACTGATCACACAACGCGTCAAAATCTAATGGCAGTGGTAAAGAATACCACTTCGACACAAGTTTAATCAAAACCTTCAACTTGATTACGTCTGAAATGACTGAATATTCTTACGCGCAGCAGACGCAGATAAAAATTTAAAATTTTTTTCACAAAAAAAGTGACTTGAGAAAAATTTGTAATTTATTTAACAAAAGTTGCTTATATAATCCTCTAATGTTCATTTGTAGCAAGAGAGCGAAACTAAAAAATTAAAAATTGAAGCAGAAAAAGCAGTAAGGTACAAGCAACCAGTGCCCCCCCTCCAAAAAAAAAAAAAAAAACTTTTGCATAATCCAATATTTAAAAAGGCACGTTGAGTTCTATATGCAAGAACTGATCTGTAGATAACGATTTCAGAGAACAATGCCTGTAAAGGTCAAAATACTGATTTTAGAACTAATCTAATAAATCTGTTAATCTAATACTAAATACATTTGAAAAGACTCCAAGAAACCTAAAACCTGCTTGAATATTACCTAATCAGTAGCGTAAAGGCCGATAAAAAACAAAAAAAAAAAGCGCTGAAAGTATAACCAGAAAAGTAAAAGAAATTGAAGCAGCTTAAAATCGGTCCAGTCCAACAGGAAGAAAGCGCAAAATTACCTGGAATAACGGCCGCCGCGATAACCCCCATAATCACCTCCTCCTCCACCCCCACGTCGCCGACCATGCGAAAGCTCTACACGTGCCCTAACCCCACAAATACGTCTAAAACACTACAGATAAAAGAGCTGATTATCAGCAGTCTTCAAAAAAATATCCTTACAAATCATTTCTAAAATTTCATATTTCTCGTTTATGGAATGTTAATTACCATTACATATAATCCATTTTTTTAATGAGGAAGCAACAGAATCAAGGGGACAAACAACCTACGTTCCATCTAAAGCCCGAACAGCATCCTCAGCATCTCTGCTATCCTCGAACTCTATAAAAGCAAATCCTGGCGGGCGCCGAGCCACCCACACTTTCCTTATACGACCAAATCGATGAAAGGCATCTTCCAGCTAAAAAATCGCATTTCAACAGCCTAATTCTTTTCGCTAACAAGACAAATGCTAATGCACTAAGAATGCATTTAACTAAAACGGCACACTTCAGTACCTACTGAAAGATGCAAGCTGTATCAAGAGTTAACAAAAAAAAATGAGAACACCTCCTGCGAAGTAGCATCATTCGGTAAACCACCCACGTAAACCTTACATTCAAGAACTTCATTACGTCGAGACATCGTGTCGAAACGCAAAGGGAAGACCCTCAAATATTCTAAACGAAATCTGCATAGCTCAAATACACTTGCAATCTTTAAAACTGTATCAGTAAAAGTTCAAAAAAGATGCAAGCATTTAAAAAATACTGAAATCAAAACACGTAAATAAAATTTTCTCACTTTTAAAAGTTACAAAGCGGAAGCAATCAAAATCTTCATTTGCAGCAGGTTCATTTCATATATATATATATA